CCTCAGCCCGGGTCCGGAATAGGTGAGGCGGGCCGTCACTCGACCACTGCGCCCCGCCCTCAGCCCTGTGTCGCCCTCACCCCTTCCCGCCTGTCTTGTGGGGCCCCAGACCCGAGGAATGGGGGGCGGGGCCCCAGAGGCCGCGCTCGCCTCACGGTAGTTTGTTTGAAGCCGAGTCGCAAAGTGCGGTCTGTGCGCTGATTGGCGGACACCCACCACGTGGTCGCACGGTTGTTCCCTTACCTACAACCCTCCGGGGTACCTGAGCGCTGTTAGCGCCCTGAAAGCCACAATCCTCGGGGGCCTGCCTCTTAGCGTGGGTTGGGCTGGAGTAATTATAGTTTCTCTCGTTGTTTGAAGGGAGAGAGGGCAATAGGAACAAGAACGAGTAAATGTCTCCCCACGTCTCTCGGTGAGAAAGGCTGTATAGGGGTTCCCAGCTGCGTAGGCCTGCGAGAAGCGGGGATTAGTGCGCAGGCGCTGGAAGGGAGGTCGTGGGAAAGCAAGCGGGATCCACGCTGAGCGCCATTGTCCTGGCGAGAGTCTTTGCGACCCACTTCCGTTCTCCGCTGGGCCACAGTGGGAGTTCCCCTGTGGGCTGACTTGGGGTCTGCTGCTTCTGTACATCCTCTGTGCCTTCAGGATTGGGGATGGCAGGGGGATCCTCTCTGGGGCCGGAGCGAGGCGGCTCTCAGTCCTGGCGCTCTTGAGACCCGGTGCCGACCGCTCCCTCCGGCCGATGCACACCCTGGACATCTCTCGGCTGGTGTACCGGTGCTCGCCGGTTCCTTCTGCTCCGAGTGTTTGTGGGAAACACGTCCACTTTTAACTTCTGCCCCACCCCCCTTAACCATGTCCTCACCTAAGCAGCTTTTTAAGGTGGGAAACGTATTCATGCTGGGCTTCTGAGCAGGGACCGATTAGGGTTCATGCCCTGGAGCAGTCGAGCCAATGAAACTAGTCCGAGTTAGAAAGTTTATTAGGAGGTGACACCAATGGAGAGCCGGACAGCAACATTGGCTGTCTTCGTGGAGTCCTGAAAGGCAATTTCTACATCAGAGATCATATATCATTTTTGTAAGTGTTACATAGTGTCTTTAGGCGCTTAGCCCACAGATGGTCGGATGAGTATACATCACAAGACCATTACAAGAAACTATTAGACTAAAGACACGTGTTGGACATCTGGACTCTTATGTTTGGAACAGGCAAAAAAAACTTAGATAAAAATTTCTCAGCTGGTGGAACTGGACTGCCAAGTTTACTCCGACCGAGATAAGGACCAAGAAAGAAAGTTGCAGACCAAAAGTGCCAGGCAGGCCTCATTGCGAGCTGAAGGCTATCCCGCAAGAGAACAAAGAAAAGGGGGTGGACCAAGACGGCAGGAGCTGAGAAGGCCCCACACCCTTTTGGAAAGAGACCAGTGCAGCTGGTGTAATTTAAAAAAAGGACATTGAAAGTGAGAGTGTACAAAATACTAAGCAAGAAAACTTTTAGGTTACTTAGAATATAATTATGGCGTTAGTTATGTCAAGCTCTCAACCGCCCATTTTGAAAAGGAGAAAACGTCATGGAGTACTAGGGTCACACAGCGAGACTGCACGCTACCCTGCTTCTTTGACCAATGCCAAAATTTAAAAAGCTAGTTGAGTTAGGTTACCACAGAAAACGTTCTTAGTTGAAAAATTGCCGGAGTTGCTAGAATTCCTGAAGAGGAAGAAAGGTTGAAGTGCTTGAATGCAAAAGATTGGAAGGGGAGGACTGGCTAAACTATAGCACTTGCACGTAGTGGCATATTGTACAACTGACAGAAAAAACTGAGGCAGCTCCATGCTGATAAAGTGAGTTTTTAAGACCACAATTCAGATCATATAACTCATGATCAAAAACATTCCACTTCCTTCTCATTCAGAAAAGGCCAAAGTTCTTAGTGTGGCTAATAAGCCCTTTGCAGTCTGTCCACTTCTCTGACATGACCTTCAACAAATTTCACCCCTGCTCATTCTGTTCCACCTTCTGTTCCTCAAACAGGCTGGACACCCCTTTGCCTTGGCCTTGTCACTTGCTGTTTCCTCTGTCTGGAATGTGCTGCCTCAAACGGACATGGCTCACTCCCTCCCCTCCATTAAGTCTTTGCACAAATCACTCTGTCAATGAGGTCTTTCCTGACCTCTCAATTTAAAACTGCAACCCATCTGTCTCCATTCTCTGCCTTATCTTCACTGTAGCAGCTATAGAATACAGGTAGTCCCTGACTTATGATGGGGTTCCGTTCCCATGACTGTGTTGTTAAGTTGGTTCTGATGTAAGTTGAATAACTCAGCTCAAATTAACAACTGATGCTTCATATGGTACAAAATGCTGAATAAGATCAGATTACAGACCTGGTCTACAATGAAGTCATGAGTGTCGAAACAATGAAGTTGGGGTCATAACGGCTTTCAGGAGTGTGTACAATTCAATTGCAGTATGTCATTAGAGTCGAACATTGCCCGACTTTCTATCCCTTTTGACTCTTGATACCGACTTCATTGTAGACCAGGCCTTGGCCTGCTATACGGCAATGTTTTGAACAGTAAATCATAAAACTGAACATATTAGGGTGAACATCTAAGAATGATGCAACATCATATATAGTACATATTACTAATGATAAGATTACCAAAAGCAAAAAAACAAAAAAGGGACAGTCGTAAGTTCGGCTCTTAATAACTCGAATATGTCCTAAGTCAGGGACTAACCCACTGTGGTTGAGTCAGGCTGTAGTTTGCTGACCCCTGGTCTATATAGTAACTGCCTCTTCCAAGAAAGAAAGAAAGAAAGAAAAACCTAAATATGTTGCTGCTGAGTTGATTTTGACTCATAGCAACCGAGTAGAACTGCCCCATAGGGTTTCCTAGGAGTGGCTGGTGGATTCAAACTTCCAACCTTTTGGTTAGCAGTCTAGCTCTTAACCACAGTGCCACCAATGTATAAATATGTTTATACCTACAATGTATATCTAAGGAAGATTACACAAGAAAATAGTACCAGTGGTTGCCTCTGGGAGAACAACTGGAGTAGGGGACAGGGATAGGAGTAAAATTTTTCCTTTTCTCTTTTTTCTTTTCCCCTATGTGCATGCATTACCTTAAAAGTTTAACCCTAGAGAGTGCTCTAATTCATGGCACAAATGTACTTGGCACTTGCCCTGCACCAGGCACTGTGATAGGCCCTGGGGTAGAGTGCGATTGCAAGCATGACCTGTATCTCAAGGACTTGGCTTGAGTGGGGAGAGAGTATAAAAATTGGCCTACCTTGGAAAGCAGGCAGGGGGACAACATGTTCTAAGGCATGCAGACTTCATAGAGTATGGGAGCCCTCCAGCAAGTTCAAAGTGGCAGGTATGGAGATGAGTGGTTGGTGAAGATCAGGGAAAAGAGGCAGAAAAAAGAGGAAAGCGTCTAATGTTAGGTTAAGGAGTTTGGCCTTTATCCAAACAGCGGGAGACATTGCAAGGTCTTAAGCAAGGGAATGACCTGCTCAGATTTGAACTTACCACATAAAGAGCTTTCTTTCATGAGAATCGAAGATGCACTAGGCCAAGGTGTTTGCTTTGGCCCAGATTTTGTTTTATTAAAAAGTTGCCAAGGAGGCAGGACCAAGATGGTGGAGTAGTCAGACACTTCCTGTGGTCCCTCTTACAACAAAGACCCAAAAAACGCAAGTGAATCAATTATATATAACAATCTAGGAGCCCTGAACATCAAAGAGAAAGTTGAGGAATCAGACTGAGTGGCAGGGGGAGGGGAGACAGTTCAGAAGCAGCAAGGAGTTGCCAGACCTGACCTGGAGGACCCTGGCATCCTGCAGGTGGGATCGGCTGGTGTGCGAGGGGTGAGGCAAGCAGTGGTGTTTGGGACACATTTTCCACATTGGGAGAGACCAAGTGGTGGAGTGTCTGCTCAAGCTTCCAGAACCAGCGAGAAACAGCACTCAATCAGCCAAAGATAAGTACAAGCGTCTAACCTATCGTGTGGATTAAAAAAAAAAGGAAAAAAAAAAACCCTCCTTTTGGGAAGTACGTCTCTCCCATTTACGTGCCCACTCCCCACTCTGCTCCAGGTCCCAGTCCAGCTTCAGGGATTGCTGAGCCCCCCTGGCTGGAAGTCGCACTCCCTGAACCATTCTCCCGGCGTTGCGGAGGGAACAAATTAACAAACAGGAAAAAATAATCTGCCAGCTCCCCTAAGCCAGGAAATCAGGGCAGGCACAGCCACTTTGCCTAGGCACAGGCATAAGGGGTCCATGGACTCTGAATGCTTTTCATCCCTGCATAGACCTGGGTGGGCCCATTTCAACAGCATAGGCCCTCATTAGCACAGTATGACAGGGTATATACCTGAAGCCTATTTTCATCTGTGTCCACTATAAGGGGGAGTGGCAGATTTGTGACATTTGACACCACCCTACTCATTAAGCAGGGTCCTCATCTACCTACATCAGAGGCCTGAGGACTGGTGGCTCCACTCACTCCACCAAGCCACCCGTGACAGGGGTCAAGAATAAGTGGTGACTCCCAGTCCTTACAGCCAACAGCATTGGGTGCCGATAGTCCAGCTGCAAAACCCACCTACCTATGCGCTCTAGGGAACAGGGACACGCCTTCCACTCAGACACTCAGGGGCAGCAGTCAGCCCCCTGCCTTAATCAGTGCATGACTCCCTATTGCAGCCAGATACCTGTGCCTACTCCAATCACCCCTGCCAGTCTACGTCTGTAGGTGAGAGCCTGCACCACACACTCGGTGAGCAACCACCTGGACATCTGAGCTGAATCCACACAAGAAAAGTAAATGGACTCCTGGGCTCACATACCTAGTAACAGTTTTAGCCACCTGGAGACAGGATGTGGGAGCTTCAAAGACACCAATAATCAAAGTAGCTCACATGAGCAACCTATTTGGGCATATGAAAACAAAACAAGAAGCTAGGACACAGTAAACAAGCATAAAATAAATAAATATAAAAACTTATTGATGGCTTGGAGACAGGTCAATATCAAATCACATAAAGAGGCAGACTATGATGGCTTCAGCAAGCCACAAGAACAAAGAATCAAGAAACCTTCCAGAGGAAGAGAACTTCTTGGAATTACTGGAGGTAGAATTCAAAAGATTAATATACAGAACTCTTCAAGAAATCAGGAAGGAGATCATGCAAAATGCAGACCAAGCCAAGGAACACACAAAGCAACAGAGGAACTTAAGAAGGTTATACAAGAGCATAAGGACAAATTTAACAGGCTGGAAGAATCCATAGACAGCAAACAGAAATCCAAAAAATTAACAATAAAATTTCAGAATTAGACAATGCAATAGAAAGTCATAGGAGCAGAATTGAGGCAATGGAAGTCAGAATTAGTGAGACTGAAGATAAAGCACTTGACATCAACTTACTTGACGAAAAATCAGATAAAAGAATTTTTACAAAAATGAAGAAACCCTAAGAATGATGTGGGACTCTATCAAGAGGAGTAACCTACGAGGGATTGGAGTACCAGAATGGGGGATAACAGAAAATACAGAGAGAATTGGGGAAGATTTATTGGCAGAAAACTTCCCTGATATCACGACAGATGAAAAGATATCTATCCAAGAAGCTCCTTGAACCACACAAAAAGTAGATCTCAAAAGAAAGTCACCAAGATATAATCAAACTTGACAAAACCAAAAATAAAGAGAATTTTACGAGTGGCTAGGGATAAATGAAAAGCCA